TGTTTACTCCATACCAGTAAAGCTCAGAAGAGGAGAGGATTAATGGAATTGTCAGCATACATTGTTTTAAGCCAGTTAGGTTTTTTTATAGTCAGTAGGGTTTTTATATTTGTTTTTATTATTCAAAGTGTTTTTCTTTATAGGAAGGGTCGTATGAGATCAGTGTGCAATCCTCAGTGTTGCTTAACACGGTATAATGCTTGTTTAATGAAAGTTCTTTAATATATACCTATGTTGTGTATATAACTTTCAGCACAATGTTGAATTTTTTTCAGACATAGTATGTAAGTGCCTGGAAGCTAATTTCTTAGGAAATGAGAATGCAATATTTTATATTAAAAATTAATTGTTATGTACTATAACTTGCAACAACACTGCAGGCCAAATGCATTCCAATAAGCCATTAATGCCCTGATGTAGACTGGGTAGTCTGCCAAGGGAGAGGTGAGGGAGAACAATTTCTTTTGTACAATCATAGAATCATTTAAGTTGGAAAAGACCTTTAAGATTGAGTCCAACCATTAACCTAACACTACTAAGTCTACTGCTAAATCATGTCACTAAGTACTGCATCTTTCAAATACTTCCAGGGATGGTGACTCAGCCACTTCCCTGGGCAGCCTTTTCCAGTGCCTGACAAGCCTTTTGGTTAAGAAATTTTTCCTAATACCCTAGTATTTTGGTGAAGAAAGTGAATTTTTATTTCATGATGCTAGTTTACACAGATTATGGCAATGTTTCAGTTCACCTGTGTTGAACTACTAGTTTTAAAAAACTTTTTTTCACACTTGGTTCTCACTTCTGCCAATAAAAGCCTGAATTTGTGTCGGTCAAAATAAACTACTAGCCTCGCAGATATGAATTCTATGTGCTACTCATGTGGATGCTGCATCGTATTAGTGTAATGGTGACTTCTTCACAGTCGGTACCACGGATGGACTTGCGTTGTTCAATGTTTCATACTCTAACTTCACTAAAAAGCTGCTGTGATTACAAACCTCGAGCATGTTTTGGCTCTTCCACTAGCTCAGTGAGCCCCTGAGGTGTCGTGCTGTGGCCTGATCGAAGGCAAAAGTCTCAACCTACTTTTGTTTATGAGATCAGAAAAGGTACAGCTTTAGACTTGATGCAGAATAAAAGATTTTTATTTGGCCTTTGCAAAAGTCATGCAGAAGAGAAGGATCCGAAATGCAAATGAGAAGGAAGATTGCAAGTATGTCTGAACGCATCTTTCTCTGTTTGCTGACGAGGATATGGATTTGGTGCTGTACTGCATGAGGGACAAGACAGAAGCAGAAATTCCTTCTCCCACTTCAAGTGCAAGTGGACATTCCACAGTTGTCCCAAAATACAGTCTCGCAGGATGAACTCGTTACTGGGACATGCAAAAGTTGAAGGACTCACTTCCAGTCAATTTTCATCCGTTTGCTACGTGTCATTTCCAGGAAAAATAGCTCTGGTAAGTGGGTACATTGTATTTCATTTTGCCTAAATTTAGCTTGTTTCTAAAATTGTCTTTTCAAAATAACGCTAGAAGAGGACAGAACAGAAAAATTGGGGCTTTTTTTTTTTTTAACAATATTTAACAATGAGATTGTATACTATAAATCAGAACATGCTTTGGCAAGTTGATGTCATTTTGCTGTTGGAAGTAATCAATTATTCTCATATTAGTAAAAGTATACGAGCAGTTAAATTCTCTTGTATTTTCTGTTTACTTTGTCCCTGTGAACAGCCAGGTCACTTGACTATCAGACTAGGTGATCTTTATAAGCAAGTTACACTACACATACTGAAAAATGTTGAGTGCTAAGTATAGTACTGATCTGGATTTACTTGGGTGGCTTTTCAGTCAGTTTCAGAATCCAGCTCTGATCATGGCCCTAGTTTGTTCATGGAATTTCTTTGCTATAGACATTCCTTTGTTGACTGGTGAAATTTAATAAATTTTTTGTTGTTTTGTGTTTGATTGGGGTTTTTTTGTATTTGTTAAGTGTCCTCACCAAGGGTGCTTTACCTCCCTTCTGATGAGACAGCACTTCATGCTACTCAGCTGCAGACTTTGGTGGCTTGTTACTGTGCAAATGTCAGACAAAGACAGGTATCCTTAGGCTTTTTGGAATAAATTTATAACACTTTTAAATGTCGTGCCAAGACATAAGTACTTCTAAATTTAACAGTATTTATTTCTCTACTCCTTATGCTTTCACCTCACTCAGACTTTGAAATGTTTCCTTGTGAACTTTTGACTGGTGGTTACTTAGCAGTTCAGATACTTTTCATAGCTTACAGTCACATATTAAGAGTTTTGTCATGTGCTTTTTTCTTCCTGAGTACTTTAACAGTTTCTGTCTTTTTTGGTTTGTTCTTTTTTTTCAGTTGCCTTGACCAGGATAGTCTTTGAATGGAGCCTCTGCATCTGCTGAAAAGACTGATAAAAAGAATAAGTGAACAGAAGAGAACGCATTTTTATCTGCACTAGGGCTTTGAGTCTATTGCCCAAGAAGTTATATTTGAAGGACAGGCAGAATGATCTAAAGAGAAGTTCAGCAAAGCATTCTGTAACATTTGTTTTCAGAAGAATTGCACAGAGCGGAACATGCAAAAACTTCTTTATTAGATGCCTAGATCATAAGCACTCAGTGGAGACCAAGTGTTTGCAGTATCAGCTGCAGAGTCCTTTCTGCTCAAACTCATTGGAAACAATTTGTTTTCACTATATATATGTTGACCTCATGGGGTTGTGGGACTGATGTCCTTACTACATTTAAAAAAAAGTGATTTTTTTTAAAACAATAATATAAAAACATAGTTTTTCAAATCTGAAGAGTTGACTTCAAATAAGTATATTGGAAGATTTCATAAGTTAATTCATTTATGGCTATATACAAGCCTTACTTTATCAAGCTAAGTATGGTTTATTCACAGTGCAGTAAAAACATTTGCAAAACTCTACCGTGTGCTAAAGCACACTTCAGACATGCTTTTGTGTGTTTGCTTTTGTACTCAGAAATTAATTTACTTGCTCAAAACAGAATGAAATACTGAATGATACCCTCATTTCCCATAATCAACCCCAAAAGTGTGAAGATATTTGCTATAACTAAACTAAAAACTGAAACAGAGGACTGACTTGGGAATGGTGTAATGAATCCTGCATTCCAAAGTGGATTACAAAAATCTGTTAGGAAGTCCTGTGTTGAAGCTTTTACAAATTGAGAAGTGCTCTATAAGGAATACGTACTACAAAAATGTAAAGCAGAAAGGTGGAGGAATGTGAAATGGTAGTAAATTAAATTTTGTCCCCAGGTTATCAATGTATTCTCTATATTGTGCTTGTGATTTCTTCAAGACTCAGTTGTGTGTTTGTTTTCATGTAGCCTAATGAATCGCTGTGGATCAGCTGAACTGTGTTAATGAGTCGTATGCAAATTCTCGGCCCCTTGAAATATGAGCTAAAACCTTGAAGTTTTAAATCAATATTGCAGTTTTATACATGAAATCCTAGATTAACTTTCAAACTGGATGCGTTAAGTATTTTAGTATGGAAGAGGCAGGTAAAGTTACGCATAAGTCTAGACAGAAGGTACCAGCAAGTTGTATTGACAATTTTGAGAAAATGCCTCTTTCTTTCAAGTAGCATTCAATTGTTTGGTTTTGTAACTTGGAGGCCAGATATTTTGAAGTAATTTAAGTCTTTTCTGGTGCCAGAGATGGTAAAGCTGCTATTTAACAGTGGCTCAGAACTTCAAGCAAATGGTCATGTCCACTTCCTTTGCAACAGATTAATTTCTCTGTCTTAATGAAGACACTTTTTGTTAAGGTGTCTGTCACCAACCTAAGAGCTGTGATTATGCTGTTCTTCAGTCCTTTGCCCTTTTAAATACTTCAGGGTGTCCTTGGAGCACAGTCTGAACTCTGATGTTTATTCAGCATCTGATTCTGATTTTTGTGTTATTTCTTCGCATTTTTTACAGAAGCTAAAAATGGACTTTACTGTATTGTAAAAAAAAACTGCATCATGTAAGCTGGTATACCTCTTTAATTGTTATCAAAGATGATGTCTGGGATTCTCAGAATGTCATGTCGTATGTGGAACTCTAATTAAAAGCATTTTGAGTTTGAACCTTTTGCTCCTAGTGTTTTGTCGTACAGCTGCTCTTTTCTGTGATGTAGAAAAGCAAATACACTTGCAGGCCCTTCAGTAAGAAATAGTGTCATTTGCAGGTTAAAATTTGCCATGTTCAGAGTGGTCTGAATGTAAAACAGATCTTAATGTTTAAAAGAAAAAAATGCAAGTATCTATTGTGTGTCTTTTTCTGGTATGTTTTTTGTAATTGCTTTGTAATTTGTTTCTTGGGCACAGTTTGTGACTGTAGTAATTTTGATTATTAATTCATGATTTGCATTTCTTTTCTAGGCACTCTGCTTAATAGTGCTGCCATTCATTCCTGCATCAAATCTCTTTTTTCCTGTTGGATTCGTAGTAGCAGAACGAGTGCTGTATGTTCCTAGCATGGGATTCTGCATTTTAGTAGCACATGGATGGAGGAAATTATCACATAAAAGGTAAAGTACTGTTACGTAGCACTGGTTTAACTCATATATCTTAATTTCATAAAAGATAACCGTATTTATAACTGCAAACTTTCTCAGTAGAGCTTTTGCCAGCATGAATTTGCTATGTTATTGCTCTTACTCTGTTTCAAGTCCACACAGAGAAATGACCAAGAAACCATTTGGGAGTCATGTGAACAAATGACAATGACAAAGAGTTTCTTTGGGAGACCAGAAGCTTATTCTGAGGGTATTAGAACATTTATTTAAAATACAGATACACATACGTAGACACACATGAACATGTATACACATGCATGTTTGGGATTTATATATGTATGTGTATATATATAAGCATACATAAATTCATAAAAACCCCTCAGACTTGATATACAATATATACATAAAAACCCTCAAACATTTTTTAAAAGCATTATAGCTTACACATTGCTACAAAATAGACTTTACATATGAGATTAGTAGTATAGCCCATCTCTCTTCTGTAAAGAAAACTAGGTATTTTCCGTTTACATCATAGATAATTTTAAGGATCAGGCAAAATAAAATTCTTGGGCACATTTGATATCTACTTTCAAAGATGATTACTCACTGAAGTTTATGTGATGCGTGTATATCAATCCACAGCATATTAAAATATATTTTACTGATTTAATTTTCAGACATGTCATGCTAGGAATGGAGATCAGAGCTATTGAGAAATTGTCAAACTAAAGAACTTTTTTGTGAAATTTCATAACTTCCTTAGGAAACTCTGCTCTAAAAGCAAGTTTTGCACACACTTTTGTTTTTCCTGCCATCTCGTACGTTGATCTGCACATACCTTCCTCTGACCTCATTACACTAGTGCCCTCCTAATGTTATCTCAGAAGAACGAAAAAGGTGGCAATTCCCAGCCTGCGTTGTCTGTTATCACGAGAGGTGAGGCCGTGCAGTATAACTTACGCTGACTGCTGCTGCCAAAGATGACAGTGCTGGATAACAGGAAATTAGTGATACCTTGTGGGAGTGAGGAGAAAGTATTATCACAAATCCCACTGCGAGACAGTAAAAATAGAAGTGAGGTAAAAAGAAAACAAGGAACCAGGAGAGGGTGGCTAGGGAGAAATAAAATTAGGCAGCAGCGTCGTTCACTACAAAGATATTGGGAATCTGCACTCTAGAAAGTCCTGTGGGAGAGAAGACTCCTCGCTTTAGAAACATGTGGAAAGAAGCTTTCTCATAAGGCTGGTGGGGATGTAAATTTTGTGTATACTAGTTCTCACTCGTCGCTTTGCTAATGTTTTAGAATTTTTCAGTTCTGCTGGGCTGTCTTTTTTTTTAGTATTTTCTAAGACCAAGCACAGTAGTTAAGTCTGTGCAGCACCTTGTATGTCTTGAAAATGGTGGGGAAAAAATCTTTCCCTTTTTTTGCAAACCCCTGTAAAGTACATAATGGTGTGAACATCTGTTGCCATAAGTCAAACGTAAGAAAGAGTGGGCGATGATAAACAGCCATATGTCTGCTAAAGAATGAGATTTTTAAAACCAAAATTATATTCAGGATTCTTGGAAGACTTCTGGGTGTTTAATGTGTTTTTTCATAATTAAATCAGAATTCAGAGGTAAAATGACCAGCGTCCTTAAAGCGTATTTTTTATATCTGTTCTGGTTGAAGTCAGTCATGTTTAAACTCCAGAAAAATAAACTGCATGAAATCTAGAAGGTTTTTACTGACAGGGTTGTCACAGAGAGAAACTTGTGCCCCACCTTGCGTGTTTAAAAACAAAATTAACTATGAAGACACTAAACCTTTCTCCTATTTAGGTATTACAGTAGCACTAGGATTTTATTTGCTTGTGGAGAGTTAGGTAGTCTCCACAGTAGACCATTAAGACGTGTTCTGCAGTGTGAGAAGGGCTGATGTTATGTGCAGTAATCAATTTGTGTGGAATTGTTTGATATGACAAAAAAAGGACAGAATGATATTTTAGTTGCTTCTTTCATTTTTTTTTAACATTTTGTAGCATTTTGAAGATCCTCCGAACCTCACCGTTTGGCACCATGATCATGTTCATTGTCTTTAATTACAGATAAGCTCTAAGAGAAGTGTATTTTTGCATATTTTTCATTTACATTGTTATATGGATTGCGTTCAGTCTTAGGTGAACTACATAACAAAAAAATGGTTAAATAACAAAATTAACCTGCAACTGCACATTTTTTTCCTTTCAAATATTGGAGTGCTCCATTTGATGAGGAGGCAAATAAATTGAAGTATACCATTCACCAATATGCTCCTTGATCTCTTTGCCTTCTAGCGTATGAGATGTTTGTTCTAGTATAAATGAGAGTTCTTCATGTGCTTATAACAAATCTTTGTTTTATTTAATAGTGTGCTAAGAAAGGTTTCTTGGGTTTGTTTGGCTGCGGTGCTCTTCACTCATGCCTTAAAAACACTGCACAGAAACTGGGACTGGGAGTCAGAGTACACGTTGTTTATGTCAGCCTTAAAGGTACTGTATTCTCTTTGGAAAGGATACTGGAAAGTTTCTGTTGCTGCTCTCAAAAAGCGGCAGTAGAGCAAGATAAAAGTGGAGAGAAGTTATGTTTATTTTGCTGCTTTTGGTTCTACGTTGACAGTATCAACATCTATTTAGTTGCTTGTGGGAATGCTTTAAAAGGGGTGTGAGGCACACATGGGAATTCATATGCAAGTAGAGGATAATTTTTTTCCTGTGTTAAAGCAGTTGAATGGATGAAAATGCAATATGTGTCAGTACAAAAATCTACAAAAAGTTTGACGCATAGAACAATTCCTTCCTTGTGCATATGGCGTGATAGGATAGTTTGTACAGCATCCCATAAGATTTATAATGAATTTTAAAACATTTGGTATTTCTAGCAGCAAATAACTGAAATAAATGGATGTTCAGCAACAATTTCAATATAATCATTCATTATGCAGTGTTTTGTTATTCTTTACATATATCAGGTTGATGAAATCTGTCATTTGCTGTGCATTTTTAGATCCTTAAGACATAGTTAAAACCATTATGTGTTATGTAATTGCAGTTTAATAACTTGCTCGTTGGTATACTTTCTTCTGATTTTAGGTGAATAAGAACAATGCCAAACTATGGAACAATGTGGGGCATGCATTAGAAAATGAAAAGAATTTTGAAAGAGCTCTACAGTTCTTCATACAAGCCACGCAGGTGCAACCAGGTAACAGCTTTGACTAGTTAGCACTGAATGACATCTCTGAACTCCTAGTATTTCAGTATGCTTAGCTTACTCAACAGCATCTTCTCAGAGATCTGGTTTTTTCCAACTGAACATCAAACAATGTCATACGCTTTTGTTCCGTAGTTTTTGGAAATAAACTCAAAAGAAGTCCTTCGGAAAAGTTTCTATCTATAAAAAGATGCAAAGACGTGCCGTTTAAAAACCACTGTTTGGATGACATGCTTTCTAAATTAACTTAAGATGTAATTTTTCATGAAACATAATCGTTATTTAATTTTCTTATTTAAAACTGAGGAAGTGTACAAAAACCTAAAAATCTAAATAGTATCAAAGTGTACATTTACTCTATTTTATCTGTTGCTGTTGCAAAAGAAGTTCTAAGTAGTACTGGACAACCTTTCCTTACTCCTTTTAGAAGCCTAGTAAGTAACCTTCAATTTATACACCCCTACTATAGCAAAAGATAGACACATGGAAGCACGACATCAAATTTTTTACTGTTTCCCAAAGAAATTTATAATCTATCTTTGGTTCATGGTTAAATTATAAACTTCATAATTAAGATGAAAAATAATACATGATTGCTTTTTGTTGTTGTTGTTGATCTTTATGCAGTGCCTCTGAAGGCATAGATTTTTATTTTCGTGATACTCAGTATATGGAAGTATTTGCATTTTCATTCTTTTTTTTATTAAGATGATATTGGTGCCCACATGAATGTAGGAAGAACTTACAAAAATTTAAACAAAACTAAAGAAGCTGAAGAATCATATATGATTGCTAAATCATTGATGCCACAGGTAATTTTGTAACTTCATTTTATCTACCACCACAGGAGGGAACTCTTTCAGACCTATATTCGTGATACACTTTTTGAAGTGCTCTTGAAGCTCTTTGTTGCTGTATATTTTAAAATTGTTAGGGTTTTTTAAAAACCTATCTATTAAGAGTAGGTTGTATACAATCATGACTGCTAAAAATAATACTAACTTGAAACTTCTTTGTTAAAACTATTTTAAGTTACATTTTATACTGCTGTGTATTATTTTTAATTAAATTGAGGATATAGAAAGAAAGCAGCAGTTAAAAATGTACACCTACAGTTTCTAGTCACAGTGGGTTTATTTTCACTTACAGCCAATACATTGATGGTGACTGAGTTTCTGATCCCTCAAGAGAAGGCTTAAATGCAGCACTGGAGGTGGGAGAAGGTAGCCACTGCAGCAACAGAAAAGCCCTTTGCCTGAAGATACTTTTAAAAACGTGCTTTGTTACCTTTGCCACTTGTTAAGTTATATTTATATCTAGCAAATATTACTTATTCTAGCTCTTTAGGAGAAAGAGAGGAATATTTTGGAGAATGTATGAAGGTGACAAAAGCTGTGGGTAAAATGAGACTTAAAACAAAAATTAGTATCCCTTGAGTATGGCATTAAAAAGTTTTTATTGGGATACAGTGTGAAGACTCTAGACAGATAAACAGGATGACAGTTGCGATGTCCTAGCGTTTTCATCTTTCATGACTACTTTCCATTTGCTGTATCCGTGGCTGTTAAAATCTTACTTAAATTTATCTTAGTCCAAAGTGTTAAAAAAAAAGAATGAAAACGTCAGATAGAAATAGCCTTTGTTGATATGGAGGTTTTGGAAGGTCTGTCTGGTTTCTAATAGCTATCTGCATGAGTCCAGCTAGGTAGTAGCAGAGCTTAATTAACTGATATCTTTGATATCATAGTCATCTATGTCTTCATAGAATTGAAGAAGTAAAAACACTCTGTTTATCTGTTGGTATGATTTTCTGGGAAAGAGGAATTGCTGTTTGTAATCATTGAGAGCCTTCCCACTAATGTCCAGTGATACCCTAAAACAAAGGTGAGAAAGTGGAAAGATCCGTACCGATTGTCTTTCATATGTTTCACTCATCTGTGTTTGGTACGAATATTCTTTTCAACAGATTATTCCAGGTAAAAAGTATGCAGCGAGAGTTGCTCCGAACCATCTGAATGTTTATATCAATCTTGCAAACTTAATTCGAGCAAATGAATCTCGCCTTGAAGAAGCAGATCAGTTGTATCGACAAGCAATTAGTATGAGGCCAGATTTCAAGCAAGCTTACATCAGCAGGTATCTTTTCTAATTTTAAAAATCTATATTCTTGAGGAAACATTTATGTATTTGCAGTACTATGAACAGTGTTTAGTTCACACACATAATTAGCTGCTGGAACTGGTTCATTTCCAAATGAGAAGATGAAGATTTGGACCCATAATCAGTTACTCATTTTGTTAAATTCCTGCTTTAAATGGTGTGTTCCCACATAGGCTGTGTATTCAAGCATTAAATAGCAAGACCCTTCCATTGGATTTCTTTATGAATCTCAAACACAAATTTCTGGTCTCTTAGTTTAGTTTTGAACTAAAAAACTTTTGTTTAGTCTGAATCATGGAGCTTTCTTTATCCTTATTTTTAAAGGTGATCCAAAAAGCACAAGACTTAACTAAAAAGCGTGTAAATTTCAGCTAAATAGGTCAGAGGGATATGGCTGTGGATATTAAGGTTGTTTTGTCAGTTGTGATTTCCATTGGGACTTAAGGAGGTGCAAAGATATCTGAACTGTAGCTGTTGCAGCATTATTGGAGAGCCAATATCAGGAACACTTGATCACTTTTTTTAGTTTTTGTCCTGCATATTCATTTGTTGTTTACAGACTTCTGAGAGCTGAAAGCTTTGGGAATGGTATGTAAAGAAGGTCGTGTATTGTTTTGTATTTAAAACAAAATCCAAAAAAATACAACCAACCAAAAAATGCTGTCATCTCACACCTGCTGTCTATAGGAAGGCAAGCCTTTTTAAAAAATTGCCACTCATTTTCATATTAGTGTGCATAAAAGTTGAACGTTAAATCTGATTTTTCAACAGGGGAGAATTACTTTTAAAAATGAACAAACCTCTGAAGGCTAAGGAAGCTTACCTGAAAGCTCTAGAACTAGACAGAACCAATGCAGACCTGTGGTACAACTTGGCAATTGTTTACATCGAATTGAAAGATCCAGCAGAAGCTCTGAAGAATTTCAACCAAGCACTGGAACTCAACCCAGCGCATAAACTGGCATTATTCAACTCAGCACTACTAATGCAGGAGTCTGGTATGTTACTTGTCGCTTATGTAGATACTGTGCATTTGCATTTGTCGGATTCATGCTATTTAAGTTCTATTAAAGATCTTTTTATTTTTGGAAAGTAGAATTACATAGCACCGTCAGAGAAACTGTTTATTGTGTTAGTCAGCTTTGTAATTTAATGGCAGTGCATGAAATTTGTGCAAAGTGTACATACACCTTAGTTGATCAGCATCTATTTTATAATATAACATCTTATTAAGAATAGTGTTACACAAGTATCTTCAAAATTGTGTATATGTAATCTTTAATAAATTCATATTGAGTAAAATAGTTTAGTATCTGTTTTGCATTTATATGGATTGATTTCTTCACTGATTTAAAAAAATACAGCTGACTTCTGGGGGCTTTGAATCTAGCCCTAGGAAATGTGCATGATTTCATAGGTTCCTCTGTAATACTGCTAATTAGGATGAAGTAAGTCCGATTGTCATGAGTTTTTATTTTTCTTTCATATGTAGTATAGCTTCTAGCTGTATGGGTAAGTACAAACCTTCTGTGAATTCAGGCTGTTGCAGAGTATTTGGCAGGTTACTAGTAAAGTCTGTTTCCCTTTTGTTCGGATGGTAAGCTGCCCCTTAGAAAGAAAGAATATGGAGTTGGCTAGAGCTGATGCAGATAGATTTTTCTTCATCTCTTCTCACATTGTGAGTCAGGTAGTACAATAAATGGCTGATTTTTTTGTCTGTAGAAGCACAAAGGGCTTCAAGCAAGCAGAAGCATTAGCTGTCTAGTATTCAGTTATTCATACAAGAAGGTGCAGCACTGTTTCAGGAGGTGAAAGAAGGCTCCCTGGTCCCTCATCCCTCAATAAATCCCTGCCTGCAATTCCTTCCTAAAACATATTCACTGAATTCTTCAGAAAAATAGCAAAGACTAGCTAGTCTAGTTCATTTTAGTATTACCAGATGAGATTATTTTAGTCCATCTTTTTCAAACTGTGATGATGGAGTTATATTTCTTTTTTTTTTGATGTTAGAAGATATTTGAGCCTGGCTACATCTTTGTGATCTCTGTTTAAACTCTTTCAGTCTGCCTTTAAGAAAATGAGATCTTCCAATCTCAGTTTGCCTCTATAAGAGCTAGTTTGTTAGAACTTACATCTTATCTGCATTCCAGTTCCTCAACCATTCATGAAATTAACTTCTCTTAAACTTGTAAAGACACCTTTTTGTATCTGTTATACCAAACCTAAGCATAATCCAACAGATAATTGGAATAATGATGCTGGCTTTGGCTACAAGTCAACTTTAAGTAGTTCGTTCTGTAAAGAAGGTAGATGTCATTTACTTTTCCTGTTATATAGCAATGACAAAAAGTTGCATTTTAAACCCTTTCCCTTTCACAGTTGTGTTGAAGTTGTTGCATTTTAAATCCTATAAAAATCAGCATTTTACAGGCCTGATCTAAAAATCTTTCAGAGTAAATCTAAAACTGAATGCATTTCCTGTCGTTTAGGTGATGCTCGTCTGAGACCTGAAGCCAAACAGAGGCTGTTGCATTATGTGAAGGAAGAGCCACAGGATGCAAATGGCTATTTCAATCTGGGTATGCTGGCAATGGACGACAAAAAAGATGCGGAAGCAGAGGCTTGGATGAAGAAAGCCATAAGGTTACAGCCAAACTTCCGAAGTGCTTTGTTCAATTTGGCATTGCTTTATTCTCAGACAGCAAAAGAGTTGATGGCTTTGCCCGTCCTGGAAGAACTGCTGAAATACTACCCTGATCATACCAAAGGTCTGATTTTGAAAGGAGATATCCTTATGAACCAGAAGAAGGATATTGTTGGCGCAAAAATGTGTTTTGAAAAAATTTTGGAACTGGATCCCAACAATGTACAAGGAAAACATAATCTTTGTGTTGTTTACTTTGAAGAACGAGACTTAATAAAAGCAGAAAAATGTTTGGTTGAAACGCTAGCACTGGCACCTCATGAAGAATACATTCAGCGTCATCTGAACATAGTTAGAAGTAAAATTGCATCACTCAGTGCTACGGAACAGTCATCCCTTCCAGCTGATGGGACTGCAACCACAGCTACAGAAGGAAAAAAAAAATCATTTCAGAATTTGAAAGAAGTAAAAAATGAGCAGAAGACCACCCAGACAACAGTTGATAACGGCAAAGTGCACTCAAAAAATAAGAAACGAACAGAGAAAAACAATATGGACAAGGAGACTCCCAAAAAATCTACGAAAGAAATCAAAGACATTGAGAAAAAGAGAGTTGCTGCTTTGAAAAGACTAGAAGAGATTGAACGTATATTAAATGGTGAATAGACTTTATCATGTCCCAATAGAGTAAGGAGAGAATACTATTTTTTACTTACTGCTTAATGTGTGATCCAACTGGAAGGTGGTCTCAGTGCTCTGAAAATAGGAATAACACTGACTGCATATCACTTAGCAAGCAGCAAAAGGCATTGCAATGCTTTATGTGAGAAAACTGCAACTTTTAAATATGATGCAGGGGATGGGTGGGAATCAGGGGATAAAGGATTGAGAATAATCTTAAATGCAGAATCCTGATAGTGAGAGAATAACACGCATAAAAATCACCGGTAGCCAGGGATATTCAGTAGTGCTACTTTCAGAGAATCAGCATAAGAACTGAATGGAGAACGAGTGGAGTAAGCCAGACACTGCTGCTTTCCCCTGTATAAATCTGTTTGTATTGATATTATCTACCTTTCCGTTACACATCATCAGTTTAAATCTTCTAGACTTCTATACATGAAAAAGAGTTTTTCTTTGCATTTTTTTGTTTCCAGAACTTAATATCAAGAAAGTCCTCAAGATACCACTGGTTGTAGTATAGGAGGGTGCAAAAACACACTAAAATTTTTGGTTACGTTCTAAATGTGGAATGATATAATAACCTTTTAATTGTTCTTTACTTACAATGCTAATGGTTTGTACTGTTTTACCTGATCGAAATCTCACGGTGCTCTTAAGATCTTTAGACTATGGTTTTACTTTTAAAGGAGTTGTGTGGGGTTTTTTTCAGCTATCAATCATCTGGTGGTTTTTAAAAATTCTGTTTAAAAAAAAAAAAAAAGAAAAAGAAAAAAAAGGGTGGTTTTCTCACTTTTTCCCTGTTCATTGAATGCTGATAAATGCACCTTTGGTACAGTAACCAGTATGCTATGCAGTAGCCCTTTTTGACTTTGTATCAATGGCTGTGGATTGACTCCTTGGTGTAGTAAATCCTTCCTTTTTTCTGGCAAACTGGCTTTACTATTTCTGTCATTAGAACAGTATTTCTATTCCCGTGACTTTTTGCAACCCTAATAGAAGCAATGATTTCTGAAGACAGTGTGATAATAATTAAGCCACTGAATTTAGCCATGTTTAACACAAGGAAATGTAGATAGTATCCTTTGAAATACTAAGTTTTGTTGTTTTGATACTTTGTCATGGGCGTGCATTTTTTGTTAAATATTTATTTTGCCTACTAAAATATTCCCATTTACACTTTTCCACTAATGCATTGTTTTAATTTCTTACGTGAAATGAAAATCTTTGTAATTTCAGCGTTGCTTTTATCCTTGTGCAATGCATATATTTTTGTTTAAATATACTACGGATTACCTAAACTGGATGTTTTTCTTAATAATGGTGAAGGAAGTGGAAGAGCTGGGTTCAGTAATAATGTGATTGTTAAATCTGACTCTTGCTCTTCATGTTTTGTCTTATGTCATGATGTAGAAGTATTCTTTAGCAACTGTACTGTTTAAACTTAACCCTTTTTCTAACTACTCAGCTTTCTGCCTCAGACAATAATCCCCACTGTAAGTTAGAGTACTTATCTATGTGACAGAGGTCTTAAATGGTTGAAGGCCTTGCGTGGACCTTTTCTTTATTATGTATCATTTATAATGTTACTACAACAATTGCTTGCATGGTAATAACTGGGGAGGAGGGGAAGCAGGTTTCTAAAAACATGATTTAAAAGCTGCAAACAGAAACGAGTACATGGTGTGCAGCTGTTCTTCATACAAAAGTTTTAAGTTCTGCATGTAGGTGAGTGCTTCCAGGAGTCTGTTGACCGCACCTTGAAAATTGCTTTTTTATCTTTCTATGAATATCTCGGATAGTTGTAGCTAAAATATCTGATACGTTGACCTTCATAGAAAATTTAACTTGCATAGCTAAATCTTTGTTTTATGAAAGAATTAGTTATTGTTTAGGATGATACAAATGAACATTCATTTGAAACTGGAAAGAACTATGTAGTAAGAAAAGTTGCTTTTTGACAAATGGGGCTTGGATATTTCTCTTTTTTTATATTAAGAGCTCCCAGAATAGCATTGCTACACCACTTTCATTCAGTCTGTAAACTGAAGAAGGGAAGAAAGGCACATTCTTGATTTTTGCAGTTGAGCCTCTGTCACACTACTCTCATCCTGACTGTCCAAGTAGCTCTTATTCAGGGAATAGCAAGAATTTTTAGCTTTATTGAAGCTAAGAGGTGCCATCAGGCTTAACTAAAATCATCAGACTAATGTAAACTAAGGGATGCTCGAGGGTGAGTCTTTCAGTCCGTTATCAGTTACTATGCCCTCTTTATGTCTTAAACAAATTTTAGTAAAAAGAATTATTTTGACAAATGTCAGTTTGCAGAGTTGTATGTAGCCTGTTAGGATGTGTCAGTCATTTTAAAATTAATTTCATGAGAAAAATGGTCCAGTAAAGTGAAGTGACATAACTTCTGAAAAATAATCAAAATAGCATTCACTCATAGGAGAGCTGTCAGAGAATAATTTTGGCTTTGTCTGCCTGCATACAGAACAGAATAACAACAGAATCATAGAATCATCAGAGTTGGAAGGAACCTCTGGAGATCGTCTAGTCCAGACACCCTGCCAGAGCAGAATTGCGTAGAGCACATCACACAAAATTGCATCCAGGCAGGTTTTGAAAGTCTCCAGAGAAGGTCTCCACAACCTCCCTGGACGACTGGTTCCAGTGTCTGTCACCCCACAATAAAGAAGTTTTTCCTCATTTTTAGAAGAAACTTCCTGTGTTCCAGCTTGTGCCCCTTGCCCCTTGTCCTTTCACTGGGCACTACTGAAAAGAGTCCAGCTCCATCCTCCCTGCACCCACCCTTTAGATTATTTGCAGGCATTGATAAGATCAACAGCTGTGTTTTCCCTTTCAATTCATCTTTTCTCCTCTCCCTACCATCCTCATGTCCAAGAACACTATAAGTGTCATCCCTTTTTTACTCCCAGTTTCACTAATATGCAAGAACTAGGATTTTTAAAGGATGGGACAGGCATACTAAAATAATTTGTAGCCCTCTTGTACACTGCAATTGCTGTGGTTGCTGAAGAAACCTGAAGCGATGTCTTACATCATCTTTGCATACATATGCACAAATTGTTCATGCTTAGATGTACAGCTGCAATAAGCATTTTAAGTGTTACACACATTTATGCATATAATTTCAGTGCAGACTCATGCATTTGTCAGACTAATTTTGGGATCTTTTGCAGGTGAGTATTTGCATAAAGAGAGTTAAATACATGTCAGGATTAATTTGCTATGCATATAGTTGGGATGTTTGAGTAGTGGAGTTGCAGAAGGGCAACCCAGTTTTGAGTATTGAAAGTATTTTGTCTATTTTGCACATGAAACATGCCAGGATTTAATTTTCTAGGTATTATTCTTTGCATTACAACCACTTAAAGATGTGATCATTCTGATCTGATTTGTTTGTTCGTTTGTTTATTGGCTTTTGTCAGTTTTGTCAGGGAAGTAGTCAGGTATTGTGAAGAACAGGAAATGTTCTATAAACAGGCATGTTCAAAGTGTCGGAGGTTGGAGTTACAAAGGATTTAAGTGGGACAGAAATTACTTTACACCTTGTTTAGGCAGTACAGGGAGAGATAAAGTCAAGCTAGCGGCAAACAAGCGGGAAGATTGCTATGGGTGGAAGGTTTTGCAGAAAGAAAAGCAAGAAAACATGCAACATGCGCTGCCAGAGGCTTTAACAGGAGGAAATGGGAAGCTTCAGATTGCTCAGTTGTGGGTGCTTGCTGAACTGCACCTTATTTTGGAAAATTACACCAAATTCAGTATATTTAAAAGGAAAATGACATGCTGAAATCTTGGGTAAATAGGTTGAGGCTTCAACCTATGAAATACTGCCTGTTTAGCTGTAGAACCTCAGCGGAGTGTTTAACCAGCTCCTCATTCCCCGGCTCTGGCATGAACCAGGCAGGTTTGGGTATCTTTATGCTCTGAAGGGGACACAGATTTGTTCTGTGTCCACGGGATGTGAAAATGAACATGCGCTTTGTTTTCCAGGCGATATGGCAGAATGGTTACCGAGTTCCCTGTAAATGGATTTAAATTGCTGACAGTGGTATGTCTCAGCCTTTGTTCACCACAGCTAGCTGAACCACAGGCCTGTGGGATGGGCAACCTCGTGTTTAATGGGACTTCAGAGCAGAGCATGAACCTGTGAAAAATGTTTTTTCCTGAGGGAGGAGTAAGCACTCTCCCAAAGCAAAAGCTGCTGAAACCTTTTGCCACCATGCGTGTAGGTTGTCCAGATCAAGTTTTCAGCAGTTTTCCCTCTCAGCTGTTGGATGTTCCAACACTAAGGGGAACTGAGAGCAGCTCTTTGGGAGTGGTGGTTCAGCCTTCTGCCACTTGGTTGTCAGATCAAGTTTTTGCCAGGTTTAGCTGTCCCATGAAGCTATAATGCTGCTCGCATGCCTTCTTTGAGGGTATGAAGCTTTGGGCTGAACACACAGGCATTTGTTCCTTCCAGAAGTTTTCTTTGGAAAGACTCAGTGAAGTACAAAACAATTCTGGGAAGTTAGCAGCCCGCCCCAGGCTCATGGAAACGTTGAATCCCACAAAAGCACCAGGAAGAGTCCCAGCTTGGGTGAGTGTACGTGGCTGGTTTTTTCCGCGCAGAGGCTCTATAATCCACCTCTGTCTGGCAAAATGTCTGGAACTGCAGCAGAACCTGCTTCTCCTGTAAAGTCCTGCTTCAGCTGCTGCCATGTAACCGAAATTATGTTTCTCCGAGTTTCAGCCTACGAATCCTGCTCTGCTTAGACAGAAAGCTTGACTATGGAAAGGATGGAAGATACCTCTCCCTCCACCTGTCCTTCACCTCACTTCCTCTCCATACAAAACTATAACACTCTCGGGTAGTGTTTCAACAGATCAAGAAGAATCTTTCCCCCAAACCTCCACCATAGCTTACAAAAAGGTAAGACATTCGTGCCTGGGATCAAAATAACATTGCTTATTATGTTACA